CAGTAGGGGGTGTGCAGGAGGCAGCTGATCGATGTTTCTCTCTCATCGATGTTTCTAACTCTCTATCCCTCTCCCTTCCTCTCTGTAAAAAATCAATAAAATATATTTTAAAAAAAGAAAAAGAAAAACAGCTTTTCCCAGGAAAAAAATAAAATGGGTAAATCACTGAAATAAACAGATAGAAAAACAAACAAAATCAAGGATTTCCATAGAAGGACAGCAATACTAGTTAATAAAAATGATTGGGGGAAAAAAACCGTCCTCAAAATATTACCTGAACGCTGGTTGTGGGTTCAATTACTGGTTAGGGCACATACCTAGGTTACTGATCAATCCCTGGTTGGAGAGCGTGCAGGAGGCAACGGATCAATGGGTCAATGTTTCTCTCTTTCTCTCTGTCTCTTTTCAAAAAAAAAAAAAATCAATAAACATAATCCTCAGGTGAGGATAAAATATGAAAAAACCATAAAGCACCAAAAATAGGACTTAGATGGGGAGCATATAAAATATTTTACCAGCTCTCACTATGTCTGCCATTTTCAATTTTCAGAGTCTGTTGACTGTAATCTTGCTGCTTATATGTACCTGTGCTTATATCCGATCCATGGCACCCAGCCTCCTGGACAGAAATAAAACTGGATTGTTGGGTATATTTTGGAAGTGCGCCAGAATTGGTGAACGGAAGAGTCCTTATGTGGCAGTATGCTGTATAGTGATGGCCTTCAGCATCCTATTTATGCAGTAGCTTGGAAAAATACCTGAATTTAATTGCCATCAGATTTCAATATAAAAGGGGGACTTATCTGCAGAAAATAATGCAAAGAATGGATAACTTTGTTTCAACATTGAATGAGATAAATTCCCAGCTGCTGTTCTCTATTTTGTTATTGGACCAATGTTCTATATAATTAGGATGTAACTATTTAATACTCAAAGAGTTTGTAGCAATCAATCTCAGTACTGTCACTACAATATTACATTCTGCAAATGTCATTTCGTTGTGTCCAATACCAGTTTTTAGTGAGGTATCTCTAAGGCACATAGTAGAAAAATTTGGTAAATTATTCAAGTTCCTTTCACTGTGACTTGGAAGTGATATATCTTTATGGAATGAGACCGTATATTGAACTAGCTTTTTTATTGGGAAAAAAAAGGGTTCAATTTGTGTTGCTAAGGGTTGCATCATATTTAATAATACTTGCTTTACCTCTGGCCACACCATTTTGAGCATTAACCAGAGTACCTCTACTCTTAACGAACTCTGTAGTTTATAGCAGGTTTTCAAACTATTTAAAAGGAGAAAGATAAATGAGATGTGACTTGAGTAGTATTGAGAAAGTGTTCATATTTAACGTGAAAGGATTTAGAATAGCTGATTGGTGTAGTCGCTTCTGCAGCCTCTCTGGTTAAGTATGGATAAATGTCTTAAGCGTAAATTTGACCAGCTATCATTTTCTAAGTAAAACTATATTCTTAGAATAAAAAGAACAAAACAGAACAATTAAAAAAAAAAATATTTTACCAAACCACATGAAAGCAGGTAAGAGAAAAATACATATATTCTTGGTGAAAAATACCAGAATTTGAAATATATCAATTATTTCCAATTAAATTTATAATAAGACTATAGTTCAAGTAGGGGGATAGAGGGGAGGGAAGAGGTGGAAGAAATGTGACAAAGTAATTCTCAAATTAATCTTGAAAAATAATAAGATAGCATATTTTAAAAATGGGGTTTTTAGAGAATACACATGTCCTATAAAAATTAAACCATACTATATCAGATGTAATGTAATCAATATGATGTATTGATTCAAGACATTCAGAGAGAAGGAAAGGGAAAGGGAGAATCATAGAGCCTAAAAACAGACCTTAGTATACATATTATTATATGATAAAGGTGGGCTTCAAAATATGTTGGGAAAGAGTAGATGTTATGGACTAAATGTTATGTCCCCCAGTATGTCTATTTTTACAGATGGGGCCTTAGATAATTAAGATCAAATGAAATAAGGTGGGGCATTAATCTAATGGGATTGGTGTCCTTACAAAAGGGTAAGGAAACACTAGAATATACTGAGGAAAGACCATGTGAGGACACAATAAAAATGATGTGGCACCCAGCCTCCTGGACAGAAATAAAACTGGATTGTTGGGTATATTTTGGAAGTGTGTCAGAATTGGTGAACGGGAGAGCCCTTATGTTGCAGCATGCTGTGTAGAGTAATGGCATCCTCATCTTATAGTAGCTTGGAAAAATACCTGAATTTAATTGCCATCAGATTTTAATATAAAAAGGGGACTTATCTGCAGAAAATAATGTAAAGAATGGATAACTGTGTTTAAACATTGAATGAAATAAATTCCCAGCTGCTCTTCTCTATTTTGTTATTGGACCAATGTTCTATATAATTAGGATGTAACTATTTAATACTCAAAGAGTTTGTAGCAATCAATCTCAGTACTGTCACTACAATATTACATTCTGCAAATGTCATTTCGTTGTGTCCAATACCAGTTTTTAGTGAGGTATCTCTAAGGCACATAGTAGAAAAATTTGGTAAATTATTCAAGTTCCTTTCACTGTGACTTGGAAGTGATATATCTTTATGGAATGAGACCGTATATTGAACTAGTTTTTTTATTGGGAAAAAAAAGGGTTCAATTTGTGTTGCTAAGGGTTGCATCATATTTAATAATACTTGCTTTACCTCTGGCCACACCATTTTGAGCATTAACCAGAGTACCTCTACTCTTAACGAACTCTGTAGTTTATAGCAGGTTTTCAAACTATTTAAAAGGAGAAAGATAAATGAGATGTGACTTGAGTAGTATTGAGAAAGTGTTCATATTTAACGTGAAAGGATTTAGAATAGCTGATTGGTGTAGTCGCTTCTGCAGCCTCTCTGGTTAAGTATGGATAAATGTCTTAAGCGTAAATTTGACCAGCTGTCATTTTCTAAGTAAAACTATATTCTTAGAATAAAAAGAACAAAACAGAACAATTAAAAAAAAAAATATTTTACCAAACCACATGAAAGCAGGTAAGAGAAAAATACATATATTCTTGGTGAAAAATACCAGAATTTGAAATATATCAATTATTTCCAATTAAATTTATAATAAGACTATAGTTCAAGTAGGGGGATAGAGGGGAGGGAAGAGGTGGAAGAAATGTGACAAAGTAATTCTCAAATTAATCTTGAAAAATAATAAGATAGCATATTTTAAAAATGGGGTTTTTAGAGAATACACATGTCCTATAAAAATTAAACCATACTATATCAGATGTAATGTAATCAATATGATGTATTGATTCAAGACATTCAGAGAGAAGGAAAGGGAAAGGGAGAATCATAGAGCCTAAAAACAGACCTTAGTATACATATTATTATATGATAAAGGTGGGCTTCAAAATATGTTGGGAAAGAGTAGATGTTATGGACTAAATGTTATGTCCCCCAGTATGTCTATTTTTACAGATGGGGCCTTAGATAATTAAGATCAAATGAAATAAGGTGGGGCATTAATCTAATGGGATTGGTGTCCTTACAAAAGGGTAAGGAAACACTAGAATATACTGAGGAAAGACCATGTGAGGACACAATAAAAATGATGCCATTTGCAAACCAGGAAGAAAGTTCTCACCAAAAACCACCATGCTGGCACCCTGACCTCAGATTTCAAATGATACACATATAATTATTTTAAAACAGTGAAACACTGAATAGCATATAGATAATAAGCTCGAAGTAAGCACCTCTCTTGGGCTTCTTACATACCGAGTGGGTACGGAGTGCGGCAATGGTTTTGGAAAGCGCCATTTCCCATAGTTCATCAATGTAGGCTCTATTTACTAAGCCCTGGGTCGTATGTAAAATATGATCTTCAACCACAAAAAAGCTAAGATTGGGGAAAAGAGAAAGCACAGTTGTCAGAAATTACAGTTTGCATACTATTTCATACTATTTCCAGGGTTTGACAAACATTAAGAACTGTCACTAAATTCTAAGTTAATAGTCATTTTTTTTTCTAAAAGAAAGCTGTCTGGTATCATAAATGAAATCAGATTTCTTGGACTTAGTATTATGCTCCTGATCTTGATATCCTCTTAACTACTTTTACAAAACTTGGAGTTACATTTTTGTTAAATGTTAACCATATTATCTAGCAATTTAAAAGGAAAGAAAATGTTTATAGGTAAAAGAGGATAATTTTTATTATCCCGATAAGTATATTTTAAAAAGCCAATAGGTTTTAAAAAGACAATAAAAGGTAAAATACATATATTTTAAGAACCCAACAAAAAATATCCAAATAATTACCCTTGTCCTTATATAGACTTTCTCAACAAAGTATTAAAAAGGTATCTTACAAAGTTTTAAAAAAATTCATACTTATTCTTTAACATTCTGCTGAGGCTTTTACATTTTTATGCATTTAAAATGTATTTTCAGCTATCTTGCCTAAATATTCATACTAATTAAAATAATAATGTAGAACCACTGCTCTACATTAAAAAAAAAAATGCTTGAAAGAAATCTAAGTTTCCTAAAAGAAAAACAGCTTTTCCCAGGAAAAAATAAAATGGGTAAATCACTGAAATAAACAGATATAAAAACAAACAAAATCAAGGATTTCCATAGAATTAAAATAATAATTCTTTAAATACAGAGTATTTATGATATATTTTAATCAAAACTATCAATTACATTGAAACAATCTTAGTCTTAAAAAATAAGTTTCATGGAACAATTCAATTTTTTCCCTTTTCTTTTAACTGCAAAGTCATATTCTGAATTAGAATAAGATGCCTACATTTGGGATGTTTATCTGGGGACTGCAATTCCATACTAGTACAGATACTCTAGATGAGGGGACTGCAATTCCATACTAGTACAGATACTCTAGATGAGGGTATAACCCACTGTGTGTTTTCATAAATATTGTTTTATTGGAACACAGCCATGCTCACTCATTTGAGTAGTGCCTATAGTTGCTCTTGCATTGCAACAGAGCTGAACAGTTGTGACCAAAAAAAAAAAAAAAATTTACAGCATGGTAAGCCTAAAATATTTTACTATCTGGCCACTTTAGAAAAAGTTTGCCAACTTTTGCTGATTATTTGGTTCCCTCTTACCAAGCATGGAGAAATAAAACATCAAATATAATAATGTTTTTCTCCCTTTATCCATAAAAAGTCCTTTGCAACAATATAATGTTGAAACCAATAGGACATTCCTTTAAAATAATCAGAAAGTCAAGACTAAATAAAATCTTGTCTTAAAATTTTAAAAAAATAATGAAAACTTGATTTATTTTTCCAAGTCTCACAAATAATATACATTCAACACACACATGCACACAGATGCACACACAGATGCATATACCTACCCTACAATTTGATTAAAATACTTCCTGTAGCCATCTAAAGTTTCATGCTGCAACAAAGTAAAAAAGAAAAAAGTTATTATTTATGCTTTGATACATTAAGACAGAGTTAATATCAGCTTTTTAATTTTTTAAGACTCAGTTCCCAAAACTATAAGAAAAATATAATAACAGTACCTACTTAGAGGGCTACAGTGAGAACAAAATGAGACTTAGAACAACGCCTGACACATGGTAATCAATAGATGTTAGAGTTGCTATTTTCTTACATTCATCAAAAGTGGTCTCAAACTAACAGTTAAAAAAAATTTTGCTAAGCACATATGCAAAACAATTAAAAGATACCAGAAAAGTAAAAAGGTGAGGAAAATAAAGGTGGGGATCCTACCATGTTAGATGGAGGCTGGAGCACCAAACGGGCCTGTTTTCGCCTCTGTTTTCGGTAATAGTTCTCAAATGTTTCCCGGGCACCCTGTAAATAAATGAAAGGAAATGAATTGACACAACAGGACCAATTATTCTAGTTTTTTATGAGAAAAGAGAAGGTCCCAGGGTCTGGAACTGAGGCATCCCCACCTTTCTCAAAATATGCTATTTTAACAATTATAGTAATCATAGAAAAAATAAAAATAAGTATTACCATTTGTTGAACCTTACTTACAAATCCTGTAGGGAAGGATATAAAAGATTTTTAAGAGGAAACCACCAGAAATTAACCTCAAGAACACCAAAGCTGGTTTCTGAATCAACTATCACAGATTCACAAGAATAAAGACGAACCAACATTCTCATAGGTTAGCAGTTGAGAAAATGTTCCTTAAAAAACCTTACAGAACATCCTGAAGAAAAAATGTCTAGAATAAAACTGAATCATGAGCAAAGGGCCAAAGAGAGGCAGGAAAAAGGTAGGAACTGAGG